GACTTTTAAAAAGCAGTGGAGTTAGGCAGTGCTCTGTTACTCTGGAGCTGTTGCCTTCACAGAACTTGGTCGCTGTAAACCAGAGGTTAGGCCTCCTCACAGAGCAAGTGCTGTCACAATACTTGCTGCTGGAAGAAAAAAACAAAACACCTGAGCTGCCATCCAGAAAATTCAAGTGCAGATCTAGAAAGTACACACTGGGAAATGGACCCAGTATTCCTGGTTGTTTAACCATCTTTGTTCCCAAACTTGTGTGGCTGCTCTAAAATAGAGCTGTGATTGTCTACAGGTACATGGTGAGGGCATCACCCTCATGGTGTTGCTCTGCTGTCTCACAGCTGGTGTTCATAATGCCCACTTGGTTCTTGGAAAGGAGCAGATGTGCTTTCCTCTTCAGTTCTACTGTTGTGAACTATTCCTGTGCCAGGAAAGAGTACAGGAAAGGTGTTGCCCCAGGGTCAGGCTTATTCAGTTGTGGGGTATTTTATATTCACTCTGCTCTCAAGGCTACAAATAACTGGAAAGAAAGGGAGAGAACAGAAACCTGCACAGGTCGAGTGCCTCTTTCAGCACGTATCGCTGCTATGCAACATCCTTTCTCTCAGATAACCCTTTTTGATAAGTGTATTTAGGCTTGTTTTGAACCACTTGTTCTGCCTTTTCTTTGTTCCTCTTGGAACCTGCTTTGGCATTGCACTTCTGTGATTGTTTGAAAACTTCCCAGCCTAAATTTCCTTCTGGCTACTCGATGACCTACTCTCACACAAATGTCAACAGTGGCCTTTCACTTAAGTAGGTTTTTTTTGCATCCTTGATGTTTGCTCCTCTTGATGTATTTTTTGGGCAGCAGTCTTGTCATTTCACCATTCATCTTTCTCAGCTAATGAGATCTGGGGGTTTTGGCAGCATTTTGTGTCATAGGCTCACCAGTCTTCTGATCATGTGAAGGATGAGTGCTGCTCTTCCACTTTGATTTTGCACTGATCAGGATCAGAACTGAACTCAGCCTTCCAAATGTGGTCTTGCTGTTCCCTTAGATGCTGTCAGGGGGGAAAAAAAGAAGTCCAAAATTCATCCTCTATTTCTTAATATTAATCTCTTCACAGCTGCACTGCAGTTGCACTGTCATTTAGTAATAAAATGATCCTCTTCCCCTTAGCCAACTTTGAAGGTTAGCTCCCCAGTGAAAGCAGATACTGTTGTCAATACACAGTAGGTGCATCTCTTTTCTATTACTGTGATTCTGCAAACATTATTTTTCTAAATCTTTTTCTTGACCTCTGTTCATATCTGAATTTTAATTGGAGCAACTTCTTGAGAATGCTCTGACTTCCTGTGTTAGGGTCATTAACAATGTTAAAAGACTTGGATCCCAGAATATATAAAGGACTGTTTTTAACAGTATCTTGTAGGTTGATGCATCCCAGTTTTGCATATTATTTGCATGTCCTTTGGCCAGTTCCATGCCACCTTAGGACTTTCTTACTAACTCCCACCTTCTGTATCATAAGTAATAATTTCTCATGTGGCACCATAAGCTGTAACTGATGTCCAGATAAATGAGATATCCTTTGTCCAGAGAAACAGGCTTTCAAGAAAATGTCAGTTTTTTTGCTTGACTGATCTATTTTTATGCTGGGCTTTTCTTACAGTCATGTTTTCCTCCATATCCTTTATTCTTTATTACTTAATATTTAAATATTCTGATTGGTGAGGTTATAAATTTTCAGAGCTCATTTGCCGCCTCATGTGGGGTTTGTGTTTATTATTTTCAGCAGATTATACTATCCTGGTGTTGATAACATAGGTTTTAGTTGAATATATATGCAGCAAAATTCTTTCAGAACCTGAGCTGAAGATGATTAATTCTCCCTGTGACTCCTTGGTCCAGGCCTAATACATATCAGGTAATTTCAGTTTCTGTAATTCCATTCTTTAAGTTGTTTTTTTCCTCATGTACAAAGTGTCATTAAAGCAAGGCAAAACAGTCAGGTGCATTTGGGATGTCAATTTGTTAGTTTTCACATCCTGGTTAATTTTTGCTACATCCACTTGTTTTCTCCTTGTTTTATTTCTCCTGGCTTTATTTCTGGCTAGAGCCGTGTCCAAATTCCTGATTCTTTTTCCTGCTCTTTTACAGTGCTCTGCATGTTTCTCAACCCTCTTTGAAACCAATCCACTGGTGTCTGAAGTTCTTTCTGTTCTCTTTGGTTTTCCCTTGCTCTAGGATACAAATGGGTTTTGCTCCTTTTGGACTTAATTGAAATTCCAAGGTCTTCTCTGATCTGAGTCCTCGAGTTCTTTGGTTTAATTCACTTCTAGTTGTCTCCATTTCTGAAAGGCTGCCATTCTAAAATGGGAAGTCTTGGTTGAAGACCTTACTTGGTTTATCCTGCTATTAATTTAAATTTAATAATTCATGATCACTCAGACTGAGATTTCATTGTTCTATGTTTTTTTTTGACACTGATTTTGGTGTTTGCCTCTGCTGTTGGCATTTAGATTGCTCATGTAGTAGCAGAATGGAATTCACGTTGTTCTTCATGTCATTGCTACATGGAGAATTCACAAACATGGCAGTGAAGGCAGGCAAAGCTTTAAGCCCTGAAATAAATTAATAGTCCTGTGGATTAGTGCCAGGTAAGGAAACTAAAATGGCATCTCTTCATATTGAGATTATTTTTGCAGCTCTAAGTCCAAAATGCTATTCTGTCTAGAAGCTTGCACTTGGCAGAAGTTAATACTGTCCATTGCCCTTCAGAGGAAACTCTTCTTGTTTTGATGATAATTGGCAGTTACAGGGATTTTTCAAGGCCTGCCTTTTTGGTGGGTTACATATGCAGCTGTGGTTTTAGGACTGAGTGTAACAAACAAATGCAGTAGAGGTTGTGGATCAGTAAAATTCTGTTCTGTTCTATTAGATGAATTCAGTGATTCCCTTATGGCTGTTTGTGATGTCAGGACAACACCAGTGCCAGGGCTGGTACATGTTTTCCATCCTGGAACTGCAGCAGAGGAGTCCAGGGTAACACTGTCCTAGAGATTTATTGTCGTTCTGGTTGGTTGTGAGATCAGTTAATTGCAGCATTGATACCCCTCTTCCTTAGCTGATCCATAGATAATATTATTCCAGTCTTTAAAATGGTCCCTCATCCTGCCTCAACATTTTGCAATCAGATGAGAGCTTCACTTTGTCTCCTCAGTGTTATGCACTTCCATGTATCACATAGTACAAAAGAGATTTAAGGAACTGCAGATTTAGCTGTGTCAATTACTTTTGGAGCTGGTTTAAAGTTACATAAACAGGTAGATTTGATGTTCCAGCCCAGGCAATGAGTTGTGCAGCAGATGCTCAAGTTTCTACATCTGCTGTCTTGCCCCACATGCTGATTTGTAAGAATTTTTCCTTCTACAGGGTAGCCAGAATAAGGGGCACCTGTTGTTTGCAGTTTTGCCTTCTCTGAAGTCTTCAAACCTCTCACTTTTCATCTCAATAAAGAGACAAATATTGGTTGCCTTCTCTAAGGTGAAAGGCACAAAACCCCAGCTAAAAAATATTGTAAAATCTAGAAAAATGTCAAGAAGAAAAGCGAGAACTAATTTAATATGACTTGTAGTATATAGTTTGGGGGATCTTGCCTTGTATGAATGAAGTCTGTCTCTTTCACTTACTCCTATTCACACTTGCAACTGCACAAGTGTCATACAAGCTGTTGAATTTTTGACAGTCTGTTTCAATTGAGATACCTATTCTCACACTTTTCTTGCAGATTCAAAGCCCTACTTTACATGAAGAGAAACACCCCCCCCTTTTTTTTTCTTATTCTTGAATATTTATGAGTAGAAGCACTATTTTTTTAGCTTATACTGTGTCTATAATCTGTTACACATTGATTTCTGTTATTTCTTTCATCTAAAGCTCTTTTTCAGCTCTTTATATAGTTTTCTTTTAGATCCAGTTAGGATTTTTCAAGTAAAACGTTCATTTGGGAGTAGGAGACTGTAACTACAGCACTTATTTTAATTCCTGTCACTCTCCTCTGTCTTTCTACCTGGCAATTGAAAGTCTGAACAGTTTCTCCGGTAACCTTATGTTGGAAGAGACAAGCTTATATTTATTATACTGTGATAAAAAGTGAGCAGCAAAACTGAAGTGAAAGGTGCCAATTCTCTCTCTCTAGGTAACATTATAAAACCATGTGGCTTGGAGAAAACAGCCAATAGTTTTGCAATGAGTCGTGTGCAGCCTTGCAGTGAAAACACAAGAATGTCTGATGAATCAAAGCTTTAAAAACATACCAACCCCTTAAGAATTGTCCAGAGAAAGTTGAGAGATTAGCATCAGAATCTGACAGCCTAATAAGAAGCTTACCCTGCCTTGAATACTCTCCAATGTGGCCAGATTTCTGAGATAAATCTTTTGTGTACCATGTGTCTTAACAGGAGTGGAACAACAGTTGCTTTTTCTCGTTTGCATTGGAACACAAAGTTAATCTAATTTTTGCAAATAAACTTGCCCTTTTTGGTGGCTGGACCGAGGAGGGAAACCTAAGGATGTATATGTACCAGCTTTGTTCTTTCTGTGGCTAGGCTAAAATTTTGATGCGTTTTTGTGTCTTAACATCACGTAGACATCATTCTACATGACTCTTCATATAGAACTTGATGTGACCCTTGATGCTTAACTCATATAGTCAGTGCATGCCTATAATTGCATTAACCTGGAACTGGGGTACTGGATTTCAGTTTTGGTTGAAGACAGTGGAGTATGTTTACTTACAGTATTTGGTCCTGATTCTTCTTAAATGGTGACTATTTTTCTGAGTCAGTTTGTACAAGCAGAATTGCTTTAGAAGCAAATTTTTGTCACTCTAATCTGTGATAATCTGATGCTCAGAAGTCAACCATTTCAGCCTTGATAATTTCATTTCTATCTTGAAAACAGCTGTTACTTCTATAACTAAAGTTCAGTTTATTTAATGAATGTGTTACTCTTCCAGATAACTTGCCCCGGAGTGGTGTTGAAAGGCAGAGAGGAACTTTATCTCAGTGTCTCTGTACTGGGGCAGTACAAAAAGACTCAACATGTCCCTGCAGCATTTCCACTCTTCTTTCAAGAAAAACTAGTATTTGAAAAGGTAAGATAATGTCAAGAGCTAATAGAAACCAAAGAAAACCTGTCCCAAATGCCAAAAACCTCACTGCACAACTCCTGAGCACAAGTAATCACACTGAGGATTGCTCACTTATGCTTCTCTTCAGCACAAAGGAGGTGTGTGCCTGTTATGGTGACTCAAAATTATGCATACTGAAGATTATAATAAACAATGAGGCTTTTTAGGTGTTTATTCATTCTTGTGTGAACTGTCCCTTTTCAGTGTCTGTTTTTGTGGCTTGGAAGGAACTGAATGTTGTTGTTCTAAAAGTTATGGCAAGATGAAGAACAAAGAATATAAGATATAGGACAGTCAGCTTAATTTAGTAGAAAGATAGAACAGCAGCTCAAGCCTTTTTGGTGACATCTTTCTGCCTTTGAGATACTTTTTTTCATGGTTTGACACCAGAATTCCCAGGTTGGTGCTCTAGCTTTATAATTTGTAGTTGTTTATCACATATGCTGAGTCCCTGCTAGCTTCATTATTAGTACCACAGGGATAATGAAACACAGTATCTTACAGATATGATCTGGCTTTTTGACTACCTATGAATAATATTACTTTGCCCTTTCTAGTTCTTTTCCTCTAAGCATCCCCCAGCAGTTTGAAAACCAGACTGAGTAAACATCAGTGATGCTCTGGTGATGGGGGTAAGATACAAACAGTGATAATTTCACCAGCTCCTGAAGAGTAAAAAAGACCACAGCTTTTTAAAGACAATCATACCACAAACTGCTTAAGGGGAATGTTCTGATTTTGGCGTAATGTAGAGAAACTCCAAGACACCAGCTTACAAAAGAGATGAACAAGAAAGCTGAAAATACCTGTCTTCTTGCAGATAGGTATTAAATAGGGCTAGATACTTGTGGAGCAGCATTACTTTGGTATTTTTTAGTGTTTGGTACCTCCCACAGCAAAGTCATCTACACCACTCTGTTGAGACTTCTGTAGAGAATTAGGGGGAAGTCTGTTAACCTGCTGAATATCCAGTGCAACATCCTGCTCTGTTCCTTGCCATCTAGTCACATGGAATTCGGGTTAAAAAAAACCCTGAACAGGACTTCATACACGAGTAGTCACTTCCGTCCAAATGAAGCTTAAAGCATTACTAATATATTAAAGAACATATTCTTCATCTATAAGAATTATAGTCGATTCAGCAATTTGTCCTTCTTGTAACTTTCTCAGACAATACTTATCTCTTTCAACTCTTCACAACACCTCCTAGTTTAAATATGGAGAAGTAACACTAAATAGCTAGAAAGCATATTACAAGAGCTGCTGGTTTTCAATGAATTTGATCATGTGCTAAATTATATTTTCAGTTTCCTTTCTTTTTCAAATGGGGATAGGATTCCATCTAAAGCAAGAGAAAATATTGGGGTTTTTTTACCTTCTCTTTCCTCAGAGCTGCATCTGATCACTTTGACTGTGCCATTATTATTATTTCTTAATTTATTTTCTAGGCATTTCCTGATGTAGTTGATCCTGGTGATCTTGTGGAGTTACTGGAACGTAGGTTCTGCTTTTTATGTATACTGTGTTGTTTGAATTACTGTCATGCATGTATGGGCTCTAAAGATTTTTTGGAGGTTCAAAGTATGAGATATTTTTTCTGTCAGGAGCCTGTTCTCTGAAAAACTACTGGGTAACCATTGCAGCATATCGTGTACTTAAATAGGTAGGACTCTAGCACTGCTGGGTTTTCAGAATAGACTATTCCTTGTCAGTGCAGGCAGAGGTTTTTTTGCTGTCTCTGGTTAATAGTAACTTACCCAAAATACTGTTAACTAACAAAATGCCTCTAGAAATGTATGCTACATGCTCTAGAAGAGGAAAAGTTTAAAAAGTTATAATTACTGGAAAATCCAATTGGTTATCCAAGTGGGTAATGGCTGCCTTTAGCTGATCATTTATTTGATTTACTTTCAAACAATAAAAGCATAAACTTCCTATTTAAAAAAAAAAAAATTATTTTTAAGAAAATGTTATGTCTTGCCACGTGTGAAGCATCATAAATTGTAGTGAGAAAACACTGACTCTGAACTCAGGAATGTGTTCTCTCCAACTGGGAGTTATCTGAAGAAGAGATTAAACTCACATCATCTTCTTTAAAAGGACAGCAGATAGAACTTACCCAGTTCTAAGTAGAGTTTAGATTTGTTATTTGTATGCTGCTAATGTCATTGTGTTAATCTGTGTTATTTATTCAAAGTGTTCTGAACTTTCTCTTATAGTTGCTGTAGTGGAAATAGTGTAGCTACATACAGTGCTATGAAGCTTAAATCCACGAGCCTTTGTTCTTGTGTTTTGACTATCAGAATTACTTTCCATTTTAGTTTTTCTAACTCATTACAAAACTTTTTTTCCTTTCTAGTTGACACAGCAGTACTTGAACTAATACAGCTCGTTCCTCCAGGTATTGTATAAGTCTCTTCATAAATTATGCACTCCAAGAGGTGAATTTCCATGAGGACATTGCCCATTACAGCACAATCACTTTTTCCAACACACAAACAACATAAAAAGCTCTTCAACAAATAGTCCTCTGGATATAAAATGTTAATAGATCAAGAGGATCTCATTCCTGAAAGAGAAGAATAACTGAATATTGAAATGTACCACACTAAGGCTTAGGAAAATTATAATATTTAAAATATGGAAAATAAACTGAAATCATCCAGTGCACACTTATTAACTGCATCACAATTCACTTGCAAAGTGGCTGTCTGTGAAATTTTGGAGTGCATAGTCTTGTTCTCAGCATGGCACTTTTTTCCCTTCCACTTTAATGGTGACCACTGGGAAAACTCTTATCCTCACTGCAAGTATTACAGTTCTCTTGGGATATGTGAAGATAATAAATAGCAATTTGTCATACTTCTGTTATTGGTTTGTGTGATTATAGAAATCTATTGTAATGAAATTCAAGTGTTCCCATGAATAATGTAAATTTGCGTTTTATTAGAAATAAAGTCAAGTTTTACAGAGGACTCATTTGGAAACTGTGATATGAAAAGCACACACTGTCATTTGTCCTTAGTACTTCCAAGAAAATGATTGCTTCTCTCAGGTGACTCACCAGACTCTTCACTTGAAGGAATTTACTGCATGTGGATTTTTGTTGTGGGAGGGTAAAATATCATGGATAAAGATTTTTATTTCAGGGGTTGAAGGCAGATATGATACAAGGTTACTGCAATAGTACAATTTAAGGTTTTCCCCTAAAGAAGATAATAGATTTATTTTTTTTTAAGTAGCAAACCAGGATAGTGATAAAAATATTGAGAATGATTTTGATGTTTGTGTTTCTTTCCTACTACTATGCTTATTCTTACTACTGCTATTACTATTCTGTAAGATAGAATGAGGCAGTTTTTCATAAGGGATTGGCTGGCAAAAAATACTGATTTCTTCTTTGGCATGGAAGGAGAAGAAAGAGGGAAACCACTGAAGAATCGGCAAGAGAAAACTTACTATAAATCTCTTTTAAAAGATTGTGTTAACTGTTTTGTAATTTTTTTACAATAATACTCAAAACATACTTTCAGAGTAGATTCTACACATTGCTGCTGCTGATTTAACTTGATGAGGTTATTTCCTACTGTGATGGGAGTTTTAGAGGCTGTTAATTCGTAAAGATCAACATTTATCTTCATTTCAATGTGGTCTTGCTTGTGATGTCTGTACTACGTGACACTGTCTATTTTTCTGCTCAAGTATGTATTTTCTTTTTTAGTAGGAAAAGTTCTGGCTACATATGAAGAAAATACAAGAGATTTCCTGTTCCCTGACCCTAAGCTGACCCCTGGGCACCATGGTTTAGACCGTGAGATTTTAATGAAGAGGTCGTCTTCTTTTGCGGTGAGTGAATATCTGTGGGTTGCATTTAAGGCACAGCGTGTTTCACTGATGAAACCCCTTGAACTGCTTGAGATGAAAAGTGATTTCCTTCTGACAGATTTGGCCATTTCAGGTGTTGAAATGGTCAAATCCACAATTGAACTTTTAGTGAAGATTTCATCTTTGTTCAAAATGCTTTGAGAACTCTTTAGCGCAAAGAAGTGAGTGAGCAGTTGGTTGCACCGCAGCACCGCGCCTCGGCTTCCGGGCATTTTCATCTGTGGTGCAGTTGGGAGTTGAAGGGATGGAGGAGAAGGAGATTTCATATCAACTTCACCGTTCTCCACAGATGAAGCCTGTGACCCTCCCTCCTCAGTCTCTCTTTGAAACGTTATGTTTCGGACCGTTTTTGGTAGTGTTTAAGACAATGATAGTACAAATTTATATTGCTGTGCCATCTGACCTCTGGGCCTCCCTGAGGTGCAGGATCACCAATAAAATAGGAAGTGATTGAAATTTAGCTTAGTGATGTGTGATTGTTTTTGAGTTCTAAAGTCTGTTTTTTAAGGTCTGTTCAGGCCATTCACACAAAGTTGCCTTTTCTGCAGTTTCAAAAAGCTGTGATAAAGGACAACTGATTGGTAGAATGCATGTGATGAATTAATGTTCATTTTCTGGAGATAAAGGCTCAAGAGCCCTTATCAGAGCCTCTACTCTGCTCTGGTGAGACCCCACCTGGAATACTGTGTACAGTTCTGGTGCCCTCAGCACAAGAAAGATATGGACCTGTTGGAGAGGGTCCAGAGAAGGGCCACTAAGATGATCAAAGGCCTGGAGCAGCTCTGCCATGAAGACAGGCTGAGAGAGTTGGGGCTGTTCAGCCTAGAGAAGAGAAGGCTCTGAGGAGACCTTATAGCACCTTCCAGTACTTGAAAGAGGCCTACAGGAAAGCTGGGGAGGGTCTTTTCATCAGAGAAGATAGTGATAGGACAAGGGGTGATGGTTTTAAACTGAGGGGAAGATTTAGGTTAGATATTAGGAAGAAATTCTTCACTATAAGGGTGGTGAGGAACTGGAAAGGGTTGCCCAAGAATTAAACAAGGTTGTGAGAACCCTCACATTATTCCTATGCCACTGAAGCCATGTTCTTCCCACTTTAAAAGTTGTTTATAGCTAGCTGAGATGTTGAGTATTTTTGACTGACAGCTGTACTTCAGGGGCACTTTGATTCCCAATAAATTTGTCTTCTATTAAAAAAGTAAAGGTAGCAACAGCAGGGTTACTCTAGTGGAGTTCAGATAGGCAGTGACAAGCAGTGTCTGATTAACACTCTTAATCTGCCAGTTGGAAAGAATCCCAAGTTGAGAGGATCAGAACTCCTCCAGAAATCTGGCACTTGGCTGATAATGTCTCTGGCTAAATGTCTACTGAGGCTTGCGAGCACAATACACAGACAAGACGTGCCTCGAGTTATCTCTCCTGGTCCAGTGTTGCCCAGCTGAGGCTTTTGCTGGCTCTTCTGTATTTCTTTTGCCTTCCAGAATATGTTTAAGCCTTGACTGGTGGTGACTTCTTACAGAATTTCTTATCTCTATTCCCCACCTTCATGCAGTATTTGCTGTGTTACTTAAAACAGTTTATTTTTTGTTATATTGCCTTTCATTAGCATACCAAGACCTTCTATTATGTTCATACATACTTTTTTTAAGCTACTGACTTGTCTATGTGCTCCTTACACTTAAAAGCACATATTAGACTTGTTTTCTAGCTTGACTTCCTCTAGATATGAACCACCTTTACAGTTCTTCTGTGATCAAATTAATATCATGTCCAAATTGCATCTGTTTAATGACTGGTACAGAAGGACTGACAAGCCTGCTTAGGGCTGCAGACACCACTAAATTGGTGGTAAAGGAGTAGATCCCAAAGCTTTTTGACTGGATTTTCATTTACCATATGTTTGGGGCTGTACTTTATATATCTTGAGTATCCTTCAGCAATCTCTAGTTTGGGAACTACAGAGAACAGAGCTGCTCCTCTGGTGGCTTTTGGCCAATGTTACTTTTGACATATCCATGCTTGAGTATGTGAGTGCCATGCCGTGTTCCCTCCCCACAAACCACTGGTTTTGTTTGACTTTTTAGCTATCAATATTTAACAATTCTGTAATCAGTCTGTGGAAGAGCAGTAGGTGGTCTGGTGTTATTTTTTAATAGCAGATATACTCATTCTGATGTGTTCTCTTTTAAAGAGCTTTTGCCAGTGGGTGGGGGTATAGCTCAGTGGTAGAGCATTTGACTGCAGATGAAGAGGTCCCCGGTTCAAATCCGGGTGCCCCCTAATTTATTTTTTTTTTTAATCTTTTTTTTTTTTGGTATATACACTCAATACCATTCTTTTTAGCTCAGTCAGCCACAAGACTGTTTTTGAAATGAGTCCCATTGTCTGACTTGATACTTTCTGAGGTACCATGTCTCCACAAGATTTGCTTCTCAAGGCCCAGGATAGTATTCCTGGCTGTGACATGAGGCACAGGAGATGTTTCCAACCATCCTGTACTTGTTTCCACCATTGTAAGCACATAGCAGTTGCCCTGGTGGCTCTGAGACAGTGTGATGGAGTCAATGTGCCAGGCCTCTTCGTATCGGTACTTGGACCACCTCCCTTCATACTGTTTTGGGAAATATCTTTTGTGTGTCATCATCTCTGCCATTTAAACCCAGTAAAACGTTGTCTATGTTGGCTGATCCTAACTGATTTTAACAGGAAGCAGAGCTCTTAAAGGTAATATGTTTCCAAGCATGACTGAAGTAAAAGAGGAATTGAACAGGAATTGTTAACCATGTAAAGATGGAAGGACCTGCTAGCCATTAGTACATGTGTGCTGGATGACCCGGAGGCCCAGTTGGACCCCACTGTGTCCAAACTAGTCAAACTACAGCTGCCTCTTCCCAGTGACATGTGAGGGGTCTGAGAGGAAGGAGACCATGGTTATAGAACAATCCACAGAAATCAGACTTTGCTCTAATCGTTACAGAATAAAGAGGATTCTTCATAATGATGTTACAAGTAAACAGTTATTGACAAATATTTAAAATTAAAAAAAAAATAAATTACTGGAGAATTGACACTACTTATAAATAAGTTTCCAAAGTTATCATTAATGAAACTTCTTAAAGCATGACTGGAATTTTCACTGATGCTATATAGCATGGCATGAAAAATGTTTAAAAGTGCTTTTGATAAAGAAATGTATTAAAAATAAAAGTCAGACCTTAATTGTTATATGAAAGCCATGCAATAATCTGTAATTGAATTGTCAGAAATGCAAATGTTAGCATCTTGACATTTACCATTGCTCTTCTGTCTTTTCTAATTATCTTTATTAAAGGCTGAAATTAACAAAGGAAATGGCTGAAAATTAGGAATGGTTTGTTACATTAGGTGACATTTACTTCTTTGATACCCTTTATCTTGAGTTGGAGCTTGATGTTCAATTTTTGTCTCTCTTCTAGGGAATTGCACCAAAATTGAGATTTTCTACGAGCTCCCTTATTACAGAAAGTCTGTTAAGCTCAGAAAGGAGTCACATACAGGTTAGCATAATTTAGTTGTTTGCAATTTAATTTCTAGATTTAATATTAATAGCCTTGGTTCCCATTTTTGCATGTGCTGCTCACTTCCAACTTTTCTCATTCTTTTGTTGTGGTTAAAGCAGTTGTCATGGGTGCTTGACAACTTGATTAAATTTTTAATCAAGTACGAGTAAAGAGTGGGTTTGGTGCATGACAGTAAATGCTGAGAGTTCCTTGAATCTGAAACAATTATCAGCTCCTATGTTCTATGATCAGCTGAAGTGTCAATCCCTGGTGTATTTGTAGGTGTGAAGATGTCTTCTCACCATTTCTTACTGACACTTAAAATTAAGGTGGGACAGCGAAAGCGAGGTGAAGTCAGAGAAAGTGCATTATAAAAATAAACCAAACTAATTTATTTGTTTTCCATAACAGTATCAGTAACAATAATGGAAATTAAGATTTTTCTGAATAGGCTGACACCAATATTAATCTGGAAATGCTGCTTCTGCAATGAGCAAAGTTTAAGGTGAAGCAGCTGAAGAGACAAGCACTCTAATGTGCTTGTTCATTTGGTAGCAGTCTTTGGTCTCGTGGATTGGAATTGCTTGGGTTTCCTGGCACAAACTGCTACAAGAAGTTACTCCTACGTCTTTTTTGCTAAATTCTTGGAAAAAATGGTGCAGCATCATTAAAATGGAATGGTTGTCTGGAAGGCTTTCGTGCAAAGAGGTTTGGGTGACTTTCACCTGTTTATGGCATTGCTTATTGGTTCACTGAAAGGTTATTTCTAAATTTAGCAAGCAAAATGTATTGAGACACTTAGATAAAGACTTGAACAAATCAATGAAAATTGTATTGTCAGAAAACTAACTTCTCTGAAGGTGGCTTCAGTATGGGCAGTTTGATTTCAAATGTCCTCAAAAGTGTTTAGAATGTTATAAAAGGCAGATGAAATTTGGATGTGTTGCACTGAAGGTCTGTTTCAGGGTTGGTGTAAGCCAGAAAGAGGGCCTTATTTTTCATCTTTTATCAGCTATGAATTTGGGCCCAAGTTGACAAAAAGCCTAATTAACCATGCTGTGGTATCCAACCTTAAAACATGCTGCTGACTAAGTGGCCTGATAAGAGTTGTATCATCTTGAGTGCCTTGACCTATAAAGCTTGTAGAGTAATTGAATGCTCATTTCATGCCAGGAATTACAAAGGAATGTTAATGCATTTCCAGCAAAACTTCAGTGTTGGAAAGAGTTTCCTCGACTTGGAAATCAGTCACTGAAGAAGTTAATAGTTATTTGAAGGAGGTGTCAGGCCTGATTGTTAGGTAGGCTTTCCTGGCAACAACAACAAAGGCAGAACAATATCTCCCCCATTCTATGTTGTGGGAAGGGAGGTGGAGAGGATGGTTGTTCCTCCCCTTTTCTTTCATAGAATCATTTAGTTTGGAAAAGACCTTTAAGATCCTAAAGCCCAACCATGTTGGTTCCATCCCTGTATAGGTATTTCAAAAGTGGCATCAACTCAGAGCTTGGCTTTTAAGGCAGTACTTGATAATGGTGTGATTTTTATGAATTTTAGCTTCAGAATCCATATTTCAGATGTCAAGTGTCATTTTTACAAATAAACAGCAGCTTTGCCTCTTGTTTTGCAAGTGTTCACATGATTTGAGAGTATCTTTGGAAGATGGTCTTTAAAGGGTTTTTGTTGAGTGTTTTTTGGGGGCAGGGTTGGATTTTTTTTACTAAACCCAGCTTCTTCATGATAACTGCTAAAGAGCTAGTAAATTCACCACAATCCAATAAAATATAAATATCAAAATGTAATTATTCTTCTTGTGAGGCTTTAGGCAACTCTAAATGAATAGAATTGAATCTATTAAACAGGCTTCTACTTTATGTATTTTATTTGAAAGGATATGAATTTTAAAAGGTTAAAAAAAGTTTAAACTGATGAAAATATGCCTCAAATCTGTGTATGTCCAATCCAGGTAAAGTTTGTGTTAAATGAATTTGTGACAAAATTCAATTTTTTGCAGTCTCTGTTCACTGTGTGAGAAAGCTAATTGGTAATTTTGAGCCACTTAACAGCTCACATGTAGGAATGTGTGTTTTAACCTCTTCCTGATTTCAGAGAAAAGGGTAAATTGTTGTTTTTTAAATTGCTGATTGATTACAGTTTATTTTGAGGGGAACTTCAGCTGACATGGCATCTATTTGTGTTAAAATGATTAGTTCCCTGTTTGCATTAGTCTCCTTCATCTTTGTTCTGCATGCTGTCAAACTAGATCATTTCTCTTTTTCACTTTAGGGTGATATGAAAGGGGGACATCAGTCAACCCCAAATGGAAAACTGCAAACCAAGTTACCAAAGAAAAATACTCTTTCACCTGAGAAAAGCAGGCACAGCTTAGCAGCAAAGAGCTACCAGCAACCTACAATAGCTTCTAAATCCCGTTCTCCATCTCCGTACACAAAGAGACGAATGTGTGAGCTCTCACAAGAAGCTGGGCAACGACTGGCCCATTTAAACCTTGGGCCTTATGAATTCAGAAGAGAAACTGCTAAACCCCCATTTGTAGTTAGACGGGTTTGTATTCTCTCCAAAATGCTTCCAGCTTAAGCTCAGATCCAATATTGTTCTTTCACTAAATGCTGCTCCAAAAATTCATTCAGCTCTTAGTTTAGGTGAATAATTTTTCTCTCCTTAACAGGCTGTCACATAGTGATTTAAATGTGAAATTAACTAAAATAAAATCTCTTTTATCCACGTTAGTAACAGACAAAGATCAAATTCTTTAATGAATATCTTGGTTAAATTCTCTGAGGCCCCATTTCTTTTCTTCCAGCGCACTAGACAGGATAATAGGTGTATAAATTCAGCTTGGAAGTAATTGATATTAGTACTAAAGTCTTGAATAAGACATTAATAAACACATACACTTCCTCTTTCAACTTTTTTTATATTGGCATGCTCTGCAAAACTTCGTTGCCTCAGAGCTGCATCTCCAACACTAACTTAGAGTCAACTTAGAGTTCATAACCAGCCTAACTTCAGAACCCACAGGAAGACTTTTTGCTAACCATAGGTGAAAAATTGTTGTGAAATTAGGTATTTACTTAAAGAAACTGTGTTTAAGTGCTTTACTATAAAGGGGCCTGATTTCCTAGCCTCTTGGAGGATCATATTCTCTTTTTTGTTTGGTTGGTTGTTTTTTTCCCCCTATTCTTTTATGATTCCAACAATGATTTATTATTAAAACATCACTTTGAATGTATTTGGGCAGAGATAGGATTGTTCTGATTCTGTCCTATGACGTTATGATTTGTGTACAATTCTGGACACTTGGCAAAACCACTGAGATAACTTAGTGTTTAATTAGTTTGCTTCTCACTTTTAACTATTTTTTTTCCAGTTTATGTACAAACAAATTAATAATATTCTGTCAAATTTTAGAATTCTTTCCCGAGTTTTTTTCTACATATAAGTACCTTTTAGAAATTTAGATTAGCCTTAATAAGTAATTAATAATTCATCAATTTACTGTTTCTCTCTCTCTCTCAGTTATTTTTCTTTTAACTCCTTTGAGTCAATTCTTCTGTTATTGATCCATAGGTGAAGATCACAGTTTAATTATAGAATCTTTAAACACTGGTTATTTATTTTGATTGCTTGGTTATGTTTGTACAAAAAAGACAAAAGCTCGTCTCTTAATGTACCATATCCTGACTATCCTGGCCTTTATAGGTTGAGAATGCTCGTTTTAGGGCATCTCTACTGCTGAGGACTCTTTTGGCCTGGAGGTTTTGTTATATTAAGATTAAAATTAGAATATGTTAAATATAACTGTTGTAATTAAGAAGATATTCAGGTCTCTCTGGGTGAGATCTGAACTGTTTGGAATAAATATGAGATACCAAGAATTGTTTAAAAAGGCTGCAAACATTTTAGATGAAGGAGAAGCTATCTGCATTTTTATTCTTTGAACAATATTATATTCAGACTTTTCTAGACCTTTCTGGTACTGTTTTTATTTGTACACAGTAATGCTAATAATACACATCTAATACGCAAAGTAGTGTGGAAATCATTTTAAATAGTATTTAAGTAAGAATGATGTATTTCAGGAACGAGTAAATGTGATCTTGCAAATGAAAACAGAAAAAAATAGGAACTGATAGGACTGATTCTGAGCATTTTAACAGTATTTTTGCTTCAGGTTGAACAACGAAGTCCTAGTATTAAACTTCATACCTGGTGTCCCATGCAAGAAAGCACAGCAGAAGCCTGGACCAAGGTAAACCATGGTCAGTATTTTCTACTATATATCTCAGTAATGCTTTTCTTGTCTGCACTAGTTTAGTGAGGTTATTTTGTTTGAGGGTGTTCAGCCTGGAGAAGAGGAGGCTGAGGGGAGACCTCGTTGCTCTCTGCAACTACCTGAGAGGAGGTTGTAGGGAGGTGGGTGTTGGCCTCTTCTCCCTATTGACCAGTGATAGGACAAGAGGAAATGGGGCCAAGTTGCACCAGAGGAAGTACAGACTGGATATTAGGAAAAATTTCTTCATTGTAAGAGTGGTGAGGCATTGCAACAGGCTGCCCAGGGAGGTGGTACAGGCACCATCCTTGGAGGTGTTCAAAAAATGGTGCTTTGGGAAATGGTTTAGTGGGAGGGGGAGGGGGGGAAGGCTGATGGTTGGATTTGATGGTCTTGAAGCTTTTTTCCAACCTTAATGTTTCTATGATTCTGAAAAAAAAAAAAAAAAGATTCCGAAGATTAGAAATCTTAATACTGACAGTAAGGTTTAGACCTTTTCTGGTTTTGTGCAGGTAGCTCATAGAGATAAAAGGAGGGAGAGGTGGTCACAGGGAGACTTGTTCAAGAAAGATTAGCAAGGTACCATCATGTACATGAGAATTTTTGGGAATGGTAGAGCTTGATTTGATATTGATTTAGGCTTAACAAAATGTTCCACTTCAGTCTGTGGGGAAGACTGTGTGTATACTGATTACTATTGGAAATACTGTATTCCCTTAAATGTGAAGTCATTGTTTTCTGCTAAAGAAAGTGGTTTATTGAAATGCTCTAAGGAGACAGTTTAGAAATGCACAATGTATAATATAAGAAATAAATAGATTGATAGATAATTGCTTTAGTACTGCTTGGGAGGAGAGGTAAGCTATCTTGTAGAAGATTTCATAACATTTAGGACATTTAGATTTTCTTTTGAATTTCTTCTGGGATGCATCTGTTTTCTTTCAGCAGATTCTTCTCTTCTTGGCAGCTACAGACCCAAGAAAGCCCAAGTGAGTACTTTGAAGCACTGTTGTTTGCAGTTTGTTTTTCAGGAAGCTCTGAGTGAGGTTTGTCCTACATAGGTGTTTTTGAAACTTTTTCTACTATAATATCAAAAGCAAGACAATGGGTATTTTAGATCTGCTCTAACCTGGTTTGGGCCTGCTGACAGATTATTTACAAACAGAAATGTGGAACCTAAGGCTTTATAAGATGTTCATGCTTGTAGCTACATACAGAAATTGCTTCTCCTCGGCATTAGGGCTTGTGACAAAGCTGTAGAAGAATCTTCAAGGGCAGTTTGCATTTGCCTTCCTGGTCATTCTGAAGGCACACTCAGTTCAGGAACTGTGTGGAGCTAGCACTGGTACAACTGGAAAGTCACAGTTGTTATTTCACATCTTGCTTTTTCAGATTTTAGCTGCTTCGTGTATCAAATATGTCTGAAAAATAATGTCAGGCTTCCTTTTTTGTCTATGTGCTTTTTAGTCTTTTCATCCTAATTGAGTTATTTTGCCTGTGTTCCTGAGGTACTACAGAAATTGTGGCTTTAGGCATTTAATGATGTCCTGTGTTCCTGAGGTACTACAGAAATTGTGGGTTTAGGCATTTAATGATGCCCCCCTAGATTTTCTAATGGCCAGAAAAACTGACGGTAAGAGGGAAGAGGAAAGAAGGTGAATTAAAAGGATAAACCTTGATATATATTAAGTGCACATTTGTCAGATTCTAGACTTTTTTTTTACCATGACAGTTTTGTGTACCATGTGAGTCTAATATATTGTTCCATTTCTGAATTGTTCCACGGATATATATGAGAAACTGTAAAGAAAATAGAGAATTTCTCTTAAATATGCTAAATATATAATTGTTGTTGTTGTTGGTTTTGTTTTGTGGTGTAGGGGTTTTTTTTATGATGGCTATTTTAAGGTTGTGTTGTTCCTCCTGTCCCTCTGTTCTGCAATGGGACAGTAGATTTTTAGGAACACTCATTGCTTGGAGAATCCAGATAGCTGAGCTGTAGGTTAGTTCCTCATGTTCTTGAGGCCCCTACTCACTTGTGCTTCTCACAAAATCAGGGCTGAAGAGAATGTATCTTTTTCTTGCCAGAAATATAATACAGCTTTGTTTAAAAGGAGCTGTTTCCCAAAGCTGAGGAAAAAAACCCTGCAGCCTGAAGAGAGCTAATGAATAACCTGATTATTGTGGGTCTGGTTTTGTTATGTTGTGGGTTTTTTTCCATCAGCTTTGGGACATGGCTCCTGTAAAAGTCTCCATTCCAAGTAAAATGGAGTAACCCGTGAAGACATATTACTGGTACATATCCAGGTAAGAGGAACTATGAAAGGATTAACTAGTATAGTGAAGAGTGAGTAGAAGATGAGTAGATGGGCCTGAGTTTTTCCCTTGAGAAACAGCAAAACATGAGAAAACAAAAAAACAGGAGAAAACAGAAGTCTTAAGGAAGAGGTCCCAGACTGAGGAGAAGTCTGGGGTTTGTGTTGCTTAAACTCTCAGGCATTATTCTGAATCTGAGCTTCCTAGGAAGGCTAAGCCAATTGTGCAGTCAAAGCCGGCTGATTAAAAGGCTGGTACACTTGACTTTGCCATGAGATGGTGTGTTAGATACCAGCAGAGTCCTCTGATACATTCAGTTTAGACCAAGGTTCTTTTTATTAAATGAAAGTCCTTGTTCTTTCCCCAGCTACTCCTGCCTGTATGTTCAACCTTTAACCTTTTGGGTTTGAAAAATAAGAACATGAAAACTGGATGTCTTGTATTCATAATAAATTTTAGCACTGTTTGTTGTTGGGCTTTTTACAGGCAAAATCTATTCATGGAAAAGACTTGGACAGTTCTGATGTCTGCACTAAGGATGGGATCTCAGATCCAGCCAGCACACAGTCCCATGTTGTGGGTTTATTTCAACGTTCAGCACCTCCAGCATTTCAGAAGCAAGCTCCAAGTTCTGTGCTCCAACGATCTTCTCTAAGGGAGAGGTAATGACTTGGTTTTGTTTGTGAAATTCTGGAGTCATTCACATGAGCAGATGATGACAGTACTTGCATGATTACACTTGGCATATTTGAAGGTGTGCAGGCTGAAGAAGCTGAAAAATATTTCCCCAACAACTATATTGTCAGTTGACTTTTCCTCTGGTGCTGTTTCCCATCACCTCTCTGTTTAATTAATGCCACCGTGATACTCTGGCAATGGAGAAGGGCTCTGACTTCTCCAGTTTCTCACCTAGACTTCAGGCTGCCAATGTCCATCTAAAACAGAGAACATGAAAATAAATAATTGATCACTGTTTTGGAGGCAATTAGAATGAAAATACAGGTGCATGTCAAGTGGTCTTTAGGGAGGTACTTGGAGAGCTTTTTTTGTTCTGACTGTTTTTCAGCTTAGTGTTTGGCAGCACATACTTGTGTCTGTTCTGTAGTCAGACCATAGAATCATAGAACTATTCAGGTTGGAAAAGCCCCTTGGGATCACTGAATCCAACCATCATCCCTACTCTACAAATTCTTCCCTAAATCATCTCCACCAACACCACATCCACACAACCCTTAAACACATCCAGGGATGGTGAATCAACCACCTCCCTGGGCAGCCAATTCCAGTGTCTAACCACTCTTTCTGTGATTTTTTTTTTCCTAATGTCAAGTCTAAACCTCCCCTGGTACAGCTTGAAGCCCTTCCCTCTCGTGCTGTTGCTAATTACCTGTGAGAAGAGACCAGCACCAACCTTTCTACAATGACCTTTCAGGTAGTTGTAGAGAGTGATGAGGTCTCCCCTCAGCCTCCTCTTTCTCAAACTAAACATTCCCAGCTCCTTCAAGCATTCTTCATAAGACTGATTCTCTAGGCCCTTCACCAGCTTCGTTGCCCTCCTCTGTCCTCACTTCAGCACCTCGATATCTCTCTTGAATTGAGGTGCCCAAAACTGGACTCAGTACTCCAGGTGTGGCCTCACCAGTGCTGCGCACAGGGGGACAATCACCTCTCTACTTCTCCTGGTCACACTATTTCTAATACAAGCCAGGATGCCATTGGCTTTCTTGGCCACCCGGGCACACTGCTGACTCATTTTCAGCTGCTTGTCAGTTAGAATCCCCAGGTCCTTTTCTGCCAGACACTTTCCAGCCCCACTTCCCCAAGCCTGGAGCACTGCCTGGGGTTGGTGTGGCCCAAGTGCAGGACCGACACATGTGTGACTCGTGTGTGTAACATGCTTGGGCTAGCTTTAGTCAGTGTGTTGTTTTCCAATCTTTCTGCTTTATTGACACCCTATTATTTTGTTTTGGTAAGCTGAAGTGTGGGCCTCTGCAGCAACTGTGTGCATATTAATGGCTAGATTTAAATTCATTTTCATAGTAATCACCACTGATCCAAATGGGGCTGGGATGGAGGTAGTTTCTAATATCCCTTAGTTCAGTGGATTTCGATCCTTGGGTTAATATTTTGGGCACACCTTGTAGCTTCAGTGTCTGATGAGAGTGGGATGGATGACATGTCAAAAAGCAACAGGTTTTTTTCATGCTTGATGCCTCCAGTCCTTCAAGGAGGGTATTCCCTACCTCCTGCCAAGTAGAATGTGTTCTTGGTGTTCAGTGCTTCTACTGTATGTTCCCATTAGGAAGTTGCTAGATGCCTTTCTGGAAGCGGAAAAACTGTGTACAAAGCTGAGCCTAAATAACCAAATACATAAAATAATTGGGAGAAGCTGAGGATCAAACCGATGTCCTGTCCTAAATGCTGAAGTGTTTACTGAGGCCCTGCTTGGTGATGTGCTCTGGTGGCTAGCTCACACTTGTTCCAGGCTGTTTCACCCCAGTTGTTACTGGCACCTCAGTTAGTCAGTGTTTGCAGGGTGCATTTTGTAGCCTTCACAAAACCTAATGCTTTCTTCCAAAAGAGAAAAACTGTCTCAGTTTTTTTCTTCAAAAAGAAAAATGACAGCTGGCAGGTGGGGACTGAATTTTTAATCCTCATGAAGATCAAGTTGGTGTTTTAACATTTTCCTCTGCTTGAAAACTTGCTTGTTTGTTGTTCTGTGTAATAGTATTTCTTGAGAACTGTTACATAGAGATGAGGAAGTATCTGGGGTTTGGAGGAGGTTTCTTTGACATCTGGTCTATCTCCCCACTCCCTTCTGACATTGTTCTGACAATGTCTGACATTGTTCACCCGTGTCTGGGAAGAGATGTTGTAATGGGGACATTTTTATCCTCTACTCAACTACACTTTTTTTTTTTTTTTTTTCCCAGGGTGTGTTTGTGTTAAATTTAAAATGGATAGTGCTTAAAGCTAGCAGAGTTCCTTCTATACATAGCAGGAAAGTCTTACATGTTATGAGCTGCTGCTGCAGGCACAGTCAGTTAGTAATCTGCCAGTTAAAACTGAAATTATCTGAATGTTCTTGCTTTTTCTCATTGCAAGTGCCTCTGCAGAAGAGATTTGTGATCTTGTGCAATTATGATTTTTCTTCTTATGAGAACAAATGTTCTCAGTTCTTTAGAAATGTAGCATCTCTTTATGTTAAAGATGTATAAGCATTTACTTCTGTCATCTGAAAAAAATCAAAATGAGTAGATACAGGGCATAGTCTGAAAAATTTTATCTCTGTTTCATGCTGCTGAGATAACAATGGCTTTAACTGAGAGTTATAGTTGGAATGACAAACATAGATCAGAGGTCAATGTTTGGAAATGTATTCAAGCACTGGTGTTCAGATCATAGCAATACAGAGAAAATCAGTATTACTGAGAGTATACCACTGTTGGTGAATTTGCAGTACTATAGAGTCTTATCTCACGCTGTTTGGTGTTTATTTCCTCAATTTTATTTTGAATTACAAAGACAAAGAGCTTAGCATATCCAAGTTATTTTTTTTAATGCTAGTCAACCCACAGTCAATATGAAACTTGACTCTCCACCTCAACCTCTAGTTCCCTTTTTTCCTTTTGTTGTTATTTTCTATATAGTATGAAGTGAATGTCTGCCTTCTTAGGAGTATTTTCCAGAGACTTGCTGAATAGTTATTAAGCTACTGCAATACTTTTCAATGATACAGAAATTGGGGTCTTGCATAAGGTCCTCTGAGCCCTTTTGTATCCTTTCTAGCAGTTTTCCAGTCCCTTTCTGTGACCCCGCATGAAAGACCACAAATCAATCCTCTCCCTTTTTCCACTGGGTTTGAGCCAGAAGCAGAACTGTAAATAGATTTACTGTTGAACAAGGCAGCAAAGTTTTGAATATTTATGTTTCATACTTGATTTTTATGTTTTTCATTATTTAGGTCACCTCAGGAAAACATTTGCTAGTGTTGCAGACTGACACCGAGCAGAGTGATGTGTCTGTACAACTCCACTTCCCATTTTGATTCTAACTCCTGTGTACATGCATATTCTTCAGTTCCTGCCCATGATGTGGCCAGCTTCAGTCAAGGCAGTTTATTTGCCCCCACAGACTGATTGGTTCTGCATAGATAAGTGTCCTTTTGTGCATAGATAAGGATCCTTTATGCTTTGGGAAAGTGGTAAGACTACATTCTCTGAATGCTGCTGCAGGAAAGCAGAATTCAAGTCCAGTCCTTTCTTCCATAGTGCATGTACATCCTCATGCAGTCCTAAAAGTCAGTGTTATTCTTGGGGACTTGCAAGGTGAGCCTTCCTTGCAGCACTGAAACCTGCAGCAAGGTACCTTTCATAAAGAAAAGGAAAAACAGTGGGATGGGTTCTGTAATGACTAAAGTCCTCTGAATGGAGCTGTCTGCTGGCACAAGAGAAATTCTTGTCTCAAGAGACTGCAGCAATCATAGGAATATTTGACCATTTCTTTTATGTTGAGAGGCAAAGCTGCTTCTCATGCATTTAGGATCAAAGGATTCTTTTTCCTACTCTGGACATGGCAGTATTTTGCTTTGGTTTCTTGCCATTTATCTGAAGAATAATCATTTCCAGAGTGAAGTCTAGCTCAATTTTTATTGTTCTTCTTTTAATGTTCTTCTGGTTATACTGCTGATCTGTGATCTTACCTACACTAAAATTTAACAAAAATCCAAGTTCTGTTTCAAGTAAGTCAGAGGTTAACTCTATGGATCAGATGCCCTTCTGTAAAATTCCTCTATTATTTTACCACCATCTTTTTATGTTATCTTTTTCCAAGTATAAGGAAAATACCAGCATGAAGCTAGCTATTCCTAATGATAGATACAATGATAGATACTATTAGTTAGATAGTAACAAAAAACTAGATCCTACTTGAAATCCTTGAAAATTCCAATTATCAGAAGCTTTGGCTTCAGTGATCTTGAAATGTCACCCCAGGACCTTGGGTACTGATTTTGCCAAACCACTGGCAGTTCACCTAATATGCATCCAGAGACAGGGTTTATTTTTGTGAGAGTTTAAGTTCTGAAAACTTTTCTACTACAAAGTAGAACACTAAAAAATTTAGCAGACATTTTAAGAAAAAAACTTGCTCTAGGGAGATGCTGCAACTAGGTTTCCTGTCTGTTTCTAGCTATTTTAAATTAATTATTTCTGCTTTTTTTTAAATTTAGTGTGATAGTGAGGTTGTTCTTGAATCTTTTGGGTTTATCAATTTCACTTCTCGGAGAAGTTTCCTTGTTTGGAATTCTTTAAGTTAACCTGTGGAAATCAACACTTGAAGATCAGTAATTTCATACAATAGTCTGCAAAACCAAGAAGCACTTAAGCCTTTCATATTTTTGACCAACATCTGTACTGTATGTCATCTTCATTGGTTGATTTTGCTGCAGAGGTTGGTAAATTTGAAATATAGCTGTCAAAGCTGTTTTATGTATAAATGAGTAAGTTCAGAGAAGATAGAAGGTGATAGAAAAGCTTCCAAAGAAGATTAGGAGGTACAGCCCATTTATGACATACTAATGTTTTAGAGCCAAAATGACTTGAACCTTTTTGGGAGTATTGCTCAGCTGGTATCTTGGGCCTTTCTTGTAATCTTGGAAGCT